ATTAAACATAAATAGCATTAATTATAAATATATAAAAATACTGTAAAAATCATGATTTGTATAAATTATCTTCGAAACAAATGTCCCCAAAATTAACAAAATGTTATTTTTATCAATTGTTTGGCTTACTTTCAAGGCATATAAACAATAAGCATATTCAAAATAGGATTCAAAATAAACGCCCCATCTGTGAGCCTTTCCCATACAATACTTGTAGTACAGTTAATGCTATTTTGTTTTGAATCCTATTTTGAATATGCTTATTGTTTATATGCCTTGAAAGTTATAATTCAATCGATTTTAAAGTCGATCTCAGACTTTAGACAAACAAAACTGTTGTAAAACTATTTAAATTCGGAAATAAATGTCAGAATTGTTTTAAAATCAGAACATTTTTTTGTGATTTCGTGAAAGTTTAGGAAACTTTTCAAAGTTTTCTGAAAACTAATATTTTATTATTAGCGGGCATTTCATGCGATGATACAAACGATAGGCCATTGCTTGCGGCCAACACTTTCAGGTCTCGGATATCCCTAACGCCCCACTCGGGGTTCTGTCGTCTCAGACTCGCATCAAATGTGACATTACTTTCGGGGCTCAACACACCGTCGGTGGCGTACGGGCCGTATGTCACCAAAAGACCACTTTTGGCCGCCAATAAAGAGGCCGATCCCTCAAACAGACCTACAGTGCAATTCCACGGAGAAATATGGATCACGTTTATACACAATATTAGATCCAGTTTTGGTGATTCAGGGATTGGCCATTGAATGAAGGGTGCGGACACATCCAACTGTAGTGGCGGCAAAACATTGGTCACACCCGAGCGTGTGATATGGGCTCCGATCGACTCAAAAAGTCTTGTGTCCACATCTGAAGGTTGCCATCGAATGAGAGGCAAATGTTTGGCCAAATGTGTGATGTGTTGTCCGGAACCGCTTCCTATCGTAAAGACATGACATGAAAACTAATTGAAAAAATGTTTGTTTCAAATGTCAAACCAATTTCCAAAGCATTGAGATTGTGATCGACTTTGCCTTCACTTCTCAACACATTTGTCAACACCTGAAGAATCACCTCTTGATTCCTTTCTGCCGCCGCGTATCTCAACATTGCATACACTTTTGATTTGGATTATCAAATCAACCGATAGTTAATTGTAAATTGAATAAATAGACCATGGGCAATTGCAATTCAATACAGTGTTAATGTTATTACTGTACATTACTGTAGTATTACTCGATGCATACAATAGGGTTCCCAATAGTGTTACTATCGCTACGAACGGCAATATTGGGAACATTTGAGGCAATGTTTTGAGAGAAGGCATGCATTTGTTGTTTGAATTGATTTTAGGAAACATTTAGTAATCGTTTTGCAAACCAAGTGAAGACAGTATTTGGGATCAGTTGAAGTGACAGTTGGCTAAGAAGGAGCGGTGAATATGAGTGAATCGGTGGTAGTTGTGAACCGAAGTGATTCGGTGGACGGGAGCCGAAGAACGGAGACAATGGGTGACAACGAAAGCGATTTACTGGAGTTGACGCCATTGGGTTCGGGCCAAGAGGTGGGCCGCAGCTGTATATACCTGTCCTTCAAAGGGAAGCGCATTCTTCTGGACTGCGGTCTGCATCCGGGTCTGAACGGAATGGACGCCTTGCCGTTCGTGGATGTGATAGATCCGGAAGCGATAGATCTGCTGCTCATAACTCACTTCCATTTAGACCATTGCGGAGCTCTTCCCTGGTTTCTCATGAAGACTACATTCAAAGGCCGGTGTTTTATGACTCACGCGACGAAAGCCATTTACCGCTGGATTTTAGCCGATTATATCAAAGTGTCGAACATTTCGGCGGAACTAATGCTTTACAATGAGTCAGATTTGGAGCAATCGATGGACAAAATCGAAACCATTAACTTTCACGAAGAGAAAGAGGTCTCTGGAGTGCGCTTTTGGTGCTATAACGCGGGCCACGTGTTGGGCGCCGCTATGTTTATGATAGAGATCGCCGGCGTTAAGGTCTTATACACCGGAGACTTCTCACGTCAAGAGGACAGGCATCTCATGAGCGCTGAGATACCCGCCATCCGACCCGATATATTGATCATTGAGTCCACTTATGGCACACATATTCACGAGAAGCGCGAAGAACGTGAGGCCAGGTTTACGGGAATCGTTTACGACAC